AACCTCAAACTCCTGGGCTCAAGCGATCCTCCTGCCTCAGCCTCCTGAGTAGCTGGGACTACAGGCATGTACCACCATGCCTGGCTAATTTTTTCTATATATTTTTAGTTGGCCAATTAATTTCTTTCTATTTTTAGTAGAGACGGGTCTCGGTCTTGCTCAGGCTGGTCTCGAACTCCTGACCTTGAGCGATCCGCCCACATCGGCCTCCCAGAGTGCTAGGATTACAGGCGTGAGCCACCTTGCCCTGCCTAATTATAACACATTTTTATGCAAACATTTTATTATTTTCTTAGGATAAATTCTGAGAAGTAGCATTTCAGGACAAAAGGTATGACTATTTTTAAAGCATTTTATTTTTACTGCTTTCAGTAAGGTCAGTCCAGTTTGTCCCAGTTTTTCCACACCCTGCTCCACAGTGGGCATTGTTTAGGGACTTTTTCTGCCTGAGAGCTCTGTTCTCCCCATGGAGCTTTGCTCATCTGAGAATCATCCACTCCTCCTCCTCCCCGCTTGCTCTCGGAGCAGACGGGGGATTCGGGGGCAAGGGCTGTTGATGCTCTCACTCTCCCATTCTGCAATCAAGTAGTGCTGAGCAGGGGGTGGGTAGGGAAGGACACTTCCCTTACTAAGCAAGTGGCCTGGTTCTTGTGACTGCAAAGCAGGGGCAGCCCCAGGGACAGTCTAACAGGGGCCAGAGAACCAGCGAGGGTCCGTCTGGACATTCAGATCCCCCAGGCATTTGGTGAGGATGGGGCTCGGGGATCTGCATGTTTGATGAGCAGCCTAGCATGGTGTTAACACAGAAACAGACCACCTGGTTCCAAGGGTAACCTTGAGCCAACCACTTTTTAAACCTCATTCCTTATCTATAAAATGGGGAAGAACAGTAGCACCCAGCTCCTAGGGTTATGGTGTCTAGTGCCTGGACAGGCTCTGCAGGTGGTGTTCTGCTACCCCCCCCTCAGTAGCCTGGGCCACTTTGAGAAACAGTGGTCCGGGCATTCAGCATTTCCCCATTTCTAAGTCGTGCCTCCCACCCGTCAGCCCCACCGGGCTAGGAGGGTTGTGATTAGATGGTGCCCTTGCTGTGACCACCGAGACCAGCTTGTCCCTGCTTGCTACGTTGTCCCTGCTTTCTTGGAATCCTGGCCGCACTGTCACGGGCACAGCTTCAGAGCGGCTTTGGGGGGATTTTAAAAGTAGAGTAAGGGAAGGCATCTGCTCAGAGAGCAATTGTTTTCTGGTGAAAAGCCATACGTATGAATTACGTTCTGTGGGTTAAAAAGCATATTTTGTGGTTTTCTGATGTTTCTTCCTGAAAAGCCATCAGGTCCTGATGAGACCAGGCCTGGGCACAGGGTAGGAGGTCAGTGAGTGTGGATGATGGTGACAGCGGTTGCCAGGTGTCTCTCTCTGTCTAGCACAGTGTCACGTGGAAGGGTCCTTCTTTGGGCTCACTCTCCCTGGTGCACCTGTCACAGACCTCAGGGAAACTGCGAGACAGAAATGGTCTCCAGGGAGCGTCTTGTTAGCTGTTGGCAACTGAGTGGAGAAACAAAAATTGGAAGGACTCCTTCTGCTTGATCCTGGGTTCTCTGCTTCCCTGTCCTCCCCTTCCTGTTGCTCCCTTTCTCCTTTAAAGAGGGAGTTTTGCCCCATTTATGCATTTTCCTCATGCATTGCTGTTTGGGAGTCTAGGAGAGGAGGCATCACTGCAGCTGTTGTAGGTCTGAAGGGTGAACTTGCCCTCTCTCCTCGGGCTGCACCTGTGACGTTCTCAGTTCCAGGGCTCTGAGATCTGCATCTCCAGTCACTGCGGAGATAAGTCACAGGTGCTCCAGAGGCGTGGGAAGAACAGAAGGAGGAAGATAGTAACATCGTTATTAATTCACACCCAAAACAAACATGCTAGAAAACAGAGCCACCCATAGCTTCATACCCATCTAGGGCACTACTTCAGATGGAATATTGTCGTGTAGCTTGAGAAAACGCAGCCAGCTGTTTGTCTCGGTGCCCGTCTTTGAGTGGCAGTGAGGGCACCAGGGCCAGAGCGGGCGGTAAGGGGAGCTCCTGGGTGCACATAGCTACTTGGGATTTGTCCAGTGTGGCCAGGCCTTGCAGGGGAGGACCTCAAAGTTTCCTCTCCCAGATCTCCACCTGATGGCTTCTTTCCTTTATGTAACGTGTTTCCCCGAAAATAAGACCTACCCATAAAATAAGCCCTAGCAGGATTTCTAAGCATTTGCACAGTAGAAGCCCTACCCCAAAAATAAGACCTAGTGTTGGGCATGGCTACGCAGCACATCTGCACGACCCATGCATTTCGTCGTGGGGCGGTAAAGAAGACGAGCAGCCCTTCTCATCTGCCCCTTGAGAGCTCTATTGCTCTACATGAGAGATTGGGGCCAATGATTCTAAAGGAAATAGAGTCCCAAGAAATTCAGGATGGAATTCGGGGTTTGGAGAGTTATGATGATGTTCCAGAACAAGACGACTTAACTATATTTGAATAAATGTAGATTGTAGTACTGTACTTACGAAAAATAACACATCCCCTGAAAATAAGCCCTAAAGTGTCTTCTTGAGGAAAAATAAATATAAGACCCTGTCTTATTTTCGGGGAAACGCGGTAGATGAAGGAACTAAAGCTCGGAGCTTCCAAGGCCTGGCAGTGCACTGGGGCTGTGAGGCTGTGTCTCCTCAAACAGGGCTCTGGGCCCTGCTGGCTTCCGGGGCCGGGAGGAGCAGCTCTGCTCTTGTGCAGGGGATCCAAGAGGGAGAGGCCCACGCCCCGTCAGGTCCATTCTGTTCACGTCCTCCTGGTCGGAAGCCTTCGCTGCTGTCCTCTGCTGATTAAGCTCTCAGTCCTCGGTCAGGCACCCAGACCCCCGGATCGGTCCCCAGGGACCAGCCACATCCAGTTGCTCAGTATTGACAGGAGGGGCCACGTGGTGTCCCCAGCTCACACATTCACTTTAGTGGTCGCCTCTTTCCAGAGGGACCCGCCTCTTCCATCTCTGCCTGTCAGTGTATTCCTGACCTTTGAGGCCCATTTCACGTCCCTCTGACTCCTCCAGCCCGGAAACATCTAATCCCGACAGCCAATAGACTCTCCCTGCGACTCCAGGGTGCGGTGTCCTCCTCCTCCTGCCTCTTATCTCACTTCACTTCCTGCTGCTGCTACTCCTGTATTATCTGTCCTAAACAGAAGGTTCTTGATTGCTTGAAATCCCTGTGCAGTGGAGGGGAGAGCCTTTTGTAGCAGGTCCGAGTCAGGAGGGAACAGGCAGGCTCTGCTGTAATTGGGGGTGCAGGAGACGTCCCATGAGAGCAGTCCAGGCCACAGCCAGAGCCCTGTCTTCATCCAGTAAGGGTGGCAGCCACAGCCCTGCGATGAGGAAGGAAACTGACGAACTTGGAAGGAACCTGCCTGCTTGGTTTAGAAATCACATGAATTCCAGGAGTGACTGACTTGGAGACAGACTTTTAGCAGAGAGCAGTCCTGGTCATCCGTGCCTGGGGTGTGCCACTCAGCCCTCAGGGTCCCTCGGAAGTTACTGATGACTCAGCTGCTGTCCCTGTCCAGGATGTCCAGAGGAACAGTCAGATCCGCCAGGGGTTGTCCGACGTTCTTCCCGGCCCCCAAACCTTCCGTGTGTGTGGACTTGGGCTGTGCTGGGTTCCATGTGGTGCCGCTGTGTAGCAGCCCCACTGGGGATGTCTCGGAGGGGTGGCCTCCCTCCTCTGGTTCCTTCTGCACTGGTCTCCCTCTGCGTCCCCCTCGGTGGCACTTCCCACCCCACACACCTGCTTGCACCACAGATGGCCTCGCCTGCTCCTGTGGCTTTGGCCGCCACTTCTAAACTCCTCAGACCTGGGTATTCACACACCTCCTTGAGAGCTCCCCCTTTTCTTTTTAGAGATGGGGTCTTACTACGTTGCTCAGGTTGTTCTCGAACCCTTGGCCTCAAGCGACCTTCCCACCTCAGCCTCCCAAAGTGCTAGGATTGCAGGCGTGTGCAGGATTGTGCCTGGCTAAGCTTCCTCCTTCTGAACCCATAGACACTCAGTGGGTTCCTGGGTTAAATTCACGTTCTTTCCCCTGAAACTTTTTGCTCCCATCCTCCCCTTCTTAGTACTCGCCTGGCCGTCATCCTAGACGCTGTTCTTATTCTGTCCCTCACATCAGGCCCTGTCACTTTCCTCCCAATTGTCCTGGGCTCCGTCCCCTCAGTCATACCCTCCTGCTGTTGCCTGGGCCTCCTCACCTCCCACAGCAGGCTGGAGCAGGGGCCCTGTCACCCGCCCTTTTTGGTCACGAGCAGACTGACATCTGCAAACACAGATCTGATCTTGAGTGTCATGATTGTCCCCGGATGACGGACACCTCCTTCACGTGGTGCATGAGACCCTCTTACCTCCACAGCCCCAGCCAGCCCCGTCCGGACCCCTCACTGGGGTGTCCCTGTGCCCCTGCCTCCTCTCCCATCTGGAAACCTGTCTCCATCAAATGTCTTCTCTAGAAAACAGTCCTGATCGCTGAGATTTTGGTGCCTTCTTTATGCTTCTGTTCCTCCTGTTGAACACCTCGATTATATAGTCTGTCACATTAGATCGTTTTTGTTTTATTTTTTAGGACAAGGGTGTTTCTCACTCATTTTGTATCCCCACAACCCAGCATGATTTTTGGTGTGCAAGAGGTGTGCAAGATTGTTGATTGAATGAATGAGCACACTGACATTTTGGAGTGGCCCTGACTTTTCTGGCTGGGTGTTTCACCTGCCGTGGCATGAGTCTTCCTCAGGCCAGTCCCATGCAAGGCCTCAGTGGTGGCTCTAGGGGACTCTTGCTTTACAGCAGCTGTTTGGCGTGCATGTCTTGGGAGTTGGCTGTGGGGCAGGACGTGTGTCCAGGTCTTCGTGCCACCTGCAGTTGCCCTGAGCCCTCGCCGCCGTCCCGCAGGAAAGCAGAACGAGTTCCTGTGCCCCTTTCTCTAGGTGCCTCCCGAGGCAGGGCCATGCTCACGTTCATGGCCTCTGACAGCGAGGAGGAAGTGTGCGACGAGCGGACGTCCCTGATGTCGGCCGAGAGCCCCTCGCCACGCTCCTGCCAGGAGGGCGGGCAGGGCCCGGAGGACGGAGACAGCACTGCCCAGTGGGTAGGTCCCAGCACCGGGCGTGGGGGAGGCTTGAAACAGGCCCTGGGTTCCTGTGCCTGGCAGGTGAAGACCGGACGCTCCCGATGTGGGAGGGAAGAGGAGGGGAGGTAAAGGCGGGGATTGGCCAAAGGGGTGGGCGGCCCGCACGGTGGGTCTGCCACCTGCACGGGCTTTGTGGTAGACTCTGCACGTGATGGTGGGGACGGATCTGGCAGTGGGCTGAATGGCGCGCTCGCCCCCGCCTTCTTGGATTTATCTTTCCAGTGCAGGTCACGGGAGAGTAAGCTTGGCTGCCTCGATGCTGGGGCAGGTAGCGCAGAGGCAGAGAGGGGAGGAAGAGAGGCTGCCGGAGGGGAAACGTGTTTTGGCAGATGGCCAGACACGGTAACCGTGAGATGAGTGCCTAATTCACGTTTGACTTTTGAGCTGGGGGTGGGTGGGCTGCACTGCCTTCTGCCCTCTGCAGCCCCCAGGGCCGGAGAGAGTTGCGTTAGGGAGAGTGGGGCATCCTTGGGCAAAACTACATCAGAATTTGCCTGTATCTCGTTCTCTGTTGTGCCCATTATAGAATTTAAAGACCTTCACGTGGACTGTTTTCTTACAGCCAGCCTGAATGCCCTTTGCTGAAATTTGAGCTCGTTTCTCTGAGAACAGAGCCGTGGCCCTGGAGCTCAGAGTGAAAGCTCACCAGCTCAAGGCCACTGCTCAGCCTTTTCTTGATAGTTTCTTATTTTATCTCCAGGAGGTTTTGTGCATTTGTGCATTTTAGTTGTTTCAATTCCTGTTGATGAACAGTTTTCCTTTCATTTCTCAGCTGAATGCCTACATTGGGGCTCTCTCTATAACCGATACTGAAGTGATTGTCACTTTTGGTTTTTGTTTCATTTGGCTTTTCCTGTGGCTGCTAGCCTCATTAACAAGGCAGCTAACGACCCTGAATCGCCACACTTCCAAAACAGAAATTTTTGTTTGTGCTAGCGACTGGCAGACATCCTGCCCCCCCCCCCCCACTCTCTCTGCCCTTCCCGGAGCCCATGTCATCCAGGTGTGGGACAGCCATCAGCCTCTCTAGTTCAGGGCTATAAATCGACATGCTTGATGTTGTGGGGCAAAAGGTTCAAAGTAATTTCTTCCTCTCCAAATTCCTGGAGTCTTATTCACACTCCAAGAGAGTCCCCGTGTGTGTTGACTGTTCTAGTAAGTGGTTTTTAATCTGTTCCCCCCATCACCTGGCCTGTCTCCTCCCAGACCAGTGTGGCCATGGGAACAGAGTTGAGTGCCATCCCGATTCCCCGTACTTAGGAAGGGGAAAGGTCTTTTGATATGCTCCGAATTCATTAGCCATAGCAGTGGGCCTGCAGACTGCCCTCTTCCCAGCTGTGCAGCCTCCTTCCCTCATTTGCGGTGGTTGGCCCAACCCTAAACCTTTTCCACTGTTGTCCTCATACACTTTTCCACTGTCCTAAAAATTCTAGCACTCCCATATCTAAACTGTAGCTCATAGGCGGTTTCCTATGTCTGGAAAACATTCAAACTTCTCGTGTCCGGCTCCAAAAATCCACACACTACATCACTAGGCCACTGTGGGGGGCATTCCGTGACCTTCATGACGTGGTTTCCCACAGAGAATCCAGGATAGTGAGGAGGACGGTGAGGAGGACCCTGACCGCTATGTCAGCAGCGGGGTCCCCGGGCGGCCACCGGGCCTGGAGGAAGAGCTGACCCTCAAATATGGAGCAAAGCACGTGATCATGCTGTTCGTGCCTGTCACGCTGTGCATGATTGTGGTGGTGGCCACCATCAAGTCTGTGCGCTTCTACACGGAGAAGAACGGACAGCTGTGAGTTGGGGCCCTGGGTGGCGCAGGACAGGGTGGGGCTGGGTTGAGGGTGGCTGCCTCTGTTGGTGCCTGCAGCTCCACACCAGTGGCAGTAGAGAGCAGGGCTGAAGAGCTGCCAGGTTCACCGCCTGGGCCACTGCCTCCTGGCCATGTGACCTGCCTGGGCACGTGCCTAGCTGCTCTCTGTCTCAGTCTCCTGGTCTTTATAATGGGTTTAGGAGTGGGATTACTGGGAGAATTAAGTGAGTTAATACAAGTAAAGGGCTTAGAACAGTGCCTGCCGCAGTTGAGCGCTCAGGCCCACTGGATCTTACTACAGAAGGAAGCTGAGCTCGATGGTGCAAGCGCCAGGTCCTGGGCACAGCTGTGCCATCAGTCACCGCGTGACCACAAGCAAGTCACTTCCTCTCTGGACCTCGGCTCCCTTGAATGTAAAACAAGGTGGTTGGTTGGACCACATGATTTCTTAGCTCACTCCCAGCCGGGGGAGGAAGGTTTATAAAGCCCTTTGTTTGTTTTAGTAAAATGCATGCAGAAGCAGCACAGAAAAACGAGAAGCCCCCCCACTCCCTCCCCCTGCCATGGTTGTCACTGCTCAGCACCTTCTCTCAACTTTTTTTTTTTTAAGTTAGGGACTTTTTGTTTCGTTTTGTGTGTATTCATTTGTTTTTTGGTTCTTGAAAGGAGTAGAGCAAGAAGCCCCCGCCCTCAGGAAGCTTAGCGTCTGCAGGGACTCAGAGCAGCGCAGGTGAAAGCGTTGAGAGGCCTTAGCCAGCACTTTGCTCCTGCAGTCCAGGCTGGGAAGAGGGAGGTATCAGTCGATTGCTTTCTGTCTCTGCCTCCTGAGTTCCCGGGCTGCGAGTGCAGCTGACGGCCCTGCCGGTGGGGGTGGGAGGCAACAGGTGGCCGGGGCCTGGGCTGGGTGGGGCTGATGGAGACGCGGGTGTGGGGAATGAGAAGTGGGTGGGCAGAGAGAAGCACCTAGGGGGTTAGTCTGAGTGAGGGTGGGGAGGTCATCCTGCCCACATCCCTGCTGCTGCATGAGGCCAGTCTCGAGGCTGAGAGCCGCAGGTATGTGGTTAGTGCCAGGACACGGGCTGGCAGACAAGGACCACTCGTGGGCATGGTTGCCTGCGCTGCCAGGGCAGCGTGTGGCTGTGCAGGGGCAGCCTGGTGTTCCCAGGCACCTCCCCACACAGTCAAGGGGTGGTCAGGGTGGGGGGCTTTCAGGAGCAGGCGCAGGCGGGGACCCAGAGTGCCAGCCCTGCGCCTCCTCCCTCAGCATCTACACGCCATTCACTGAGGACACGCCCTCGGTGAGCCAGCGCCTCCTCAACTCCGTGCTGAACACGCTCATCATGATCAGCGTCATCGTGGTCATGACCATCTTCCTGGTGGTGCTGTACAAGTACCGCTGCTACAAGGTGAGGCCCGGCCACGCCCTCCGCCCACCACCTCCTGTCCGCCCCTCGCTGCTGCTGGCAGGGCCCGTTCCACAGCCACCTTTTTTAAAGACTTGGAGTTCCTTTTTTTTGCGAAATAAACTCTGATTTTTGGCCGGGTGCTGTGCCTCACACCTGTAATCCTAGCACTCTGGGAGGCAGAGGCGGGAGGACCATTTGAGCTCAGGAGTTTAAGACCAGCATGAGCAAGAGCGAGACCCTGTCTCTACTAAAAATAGAAAGAAATTAGCTGGACAACTAAAAACATGTAGAAAAAATTAGCCGGGCATGGGGGTGCATGCCTCTAGTCCCAGCCACTCGGGAGATTGAGGCAGGAGGATTGCTTGAGCCCAGGAGTTTGAGGTTGCTGTGAGCTAGGCTGATGCCACTGCACTCTAGCCCAGGCAACTCTGTCTCAAAAAAAAAAAAAAAAAAAAAAAAAACAAAAACCTCTGAGTTTTGGTACTCTTTCTCACCCTAGCCCCAGCACAGATGACCTAATACTATTGTCTGTTAAACGTGCACAGAATGCTACTCAACTGAGCTCCTCACTGCAACATTCTGTGTGTCACTTCTCACATTCAGAAGTTTAATTTGATTTTGCTTCTCTTTCTGAAGCTCTATTTTATGTTCTTCTCACCCCAATACTCCCCCTCCAGATTTATTTTTCCATTTCCCTACTGGACAGGCAGGTATAGCGGCTATGCCGAGGTCTTCCAGCCCCGGGAGACATCTGGATTCGGCCCACCTGCAGCTACTGAGTAGAGGAAGAGCCCATCTCACCTGCCCTAATCACAGGCACCATCTTGTCTCCAAAGATGCCATAAACTTTTAGGCGTTGATTTTAGGCTTTCCTCCTAAGGAAGGCTTTGAACCACTAAAGACTGACAGAAAGTTAAGCTAGACATCACCCCAATTTCAAATTGTTTGCACATAGGCACGGCACAGTGCTTTTTGTTTAAGTAGCTGCCATTCCTGGAGCAGGTAGATGGAGGTGTGGGGTGCCCTGGCTAGAGGCACGGCAGAGACGGTGCAGTGAGGGAGCCGCGCTGTGGTCCCGGTGTCCCCGGAGGCTGAGGCTGGAGGATCACTTGAGCCCAGGAGTGAGTCTCAGTCTGGGCATTGAGAGATCCTGTCTATAATAATAATAAATTATTTTTTTTTGAGACAGAGTCTTGTTCTGTCACCCTGACATCATCATAGCACAGCGCATCCTCCAACTTTTGGGCTCCAGCAATCCTCTCGCCTCGGCCACCCAAGTAGCTGGGACTACAGGTGTGCACCCCTACACCCAGCTAGTTTTTTCTATTTTTGGGAGAGATGGGGTCTTGTTCTTGTTCAGGCTGGTCTTGAACTCCTGACTTCAAGCAATCCTCCTGTCTCAGCCTGCCAGAATGTTGAAATTATAGATGTGAGCCATCATGCCCAGCCTCTAAAAAATAATAATGGTAAAATAAGTAACATTTACTTGTGTAAATTAAGCAGAGTTTTAACATTGCAGTGAGGAGGTTGGTGGATGGTGGGAAGCAGGGTAGAAGGCACCTGGTTTGGAGCAGAAGAAATAGCACGTGTAGGAACAATCTAGGGGTAGCGCAGCAAATGTGGGCAGCTGCCACCACTGTGGGCAGTAGGGCCGCAGCCGTTCAGGAAGGTTTACCTGGGGGCTCCAAGGCACTCGGGCAAAAGATGGCGGTGGCCTGGACAGCCAGGCGGGCTAAGAGGATCAGCACGTGCCCTTTCGGCTGTGCACACAGCTGAGGCGGCTCTTTCACCGCAGGTAGACAGGTCCCCACTGCGGTCCCAGTGGGCTGGGCTAGTGACTGGTGGGCTGGTGCTCGAGGTGAAGCTGCCCCAAGTAGACCAGGTGTCTGCTGAGGTCCCAGTGGTCTTTGGGGGTGAGGCTGGTAGGAGATGATGTCACCCTCCCAGGCTTGGCCAGCGGGGGAGGAACCAGCCTTCCTGGGTTGTCTCTGTTGAAAATAGCCCCTCAAGAGGCCTCCCTGCCCAGTGCATCTAAAATAGCACGCCCGCGAGTCTCCTGTCACCGCATCTGCCAGCGCGGTTTTCTCTGTAGCGTCTTCACCACCTGCTGTACTTGTTTACCTGTCCTCCACCTCCCGCACCCCGAACGCAGTGCTGCAGAGGCTTCTCTAGCTTTCTTTCCCGAGCCCGGAACGGTGCCTGGCGCGTAGGAGATGCCCAGCGTGTCCGTTCTAAGTGAACGGGTAGAGTAGGGAGGGGGAGCACGGGGCTGCGTCAGCAGACCCGCCGGAGTCTTGTCTCCGTCACGGCAGGGGCCTGACGGGAACTTGAATTTCTGCCATCCTTGGTGTAAGACGGCTGCAGGCTGCCATCCAGCGTGGTCAGGGAGTAGCCTGGCCAAGAAAGACTTTGGGGCTTGGGTATGAGTCCCAGGGGCCTGGGGGCCTTGTGATTTGGGGAGCTTGGGACACCTTGTGACACTCCTGTCTGTTCTGTTGTCCAGTTCATCCACGGCTGGCTGATCATGTCCTCCCTGATGTTGCTGTTCCTCTTCACCTACATCTACCTCGGGTGAGTGGCAGCTGTATGCAGCAGGGGCGCCCTGGGGACCCTCTCCCTGCGGCACGGGTGGATATGAAGGGCCTGCGCAGGGAAGGGCGGCCGCTGAGCCACAGCCCTCCCGTGCGTTGGCTGTTCCAAGGGCCCCAGCCTCAAGCCCCTCTTTTTCAGCCTTGACACAGTGAGGGGCTCCATGGTGGGCCTCGCATCTCTTTCTAGTTCCTGATTTGAAACAAGCAAAGCCATCATGGAGGAGGTTCTCTGAATCCTGTAGGGGGGCAGAAACACCTCAAAATTCACAGTCCCATCTTTGGTCTAGGCCTCAGTACTTCCTAGTTTACGGGAATGATCGTCTGTTCTGTTGCCCCTTGATTTGGGATATTAGCCTGACCCAGGGGCCCACAGACATTGGAGGGACAAGGAAAAAGCACTTTTCCAAGGACCTTTTCCACGTGCAAAGGGTCTTCCAGGTTGTACCAGCACATGTTTATGTAAACCATACAAAGCATGAGTCTTTGGTTTACTTTCCATCTTGTTCTAGAAAAAATGGTTAGCTGTAGGGCCAGTGGACGTAGGGGAAGGGAACATTAGTAAGAAAGACTGGGCTGGGACCGAAAGGTGTTAAACCGTCAGGGTGTCGCATCTCCACTGAGTCTCCTGCCCACGGGCACAACCTTGGTCTTGCAGGGAAGTGCTCAAGACCTACAACGTGGCCATGGACTACCCCACGCTTGTGCTGACCGTCTGGAACTTTGGGGCGGTGGGCATGGTATGCATCCACTGGAAGGGGCCTCTCATGCTGCAGCAGGCCTACCTCATCGCGATCAGCGCGCTCATGGCCCTGGTGTTCATCAAGTACCTCCCGGAGTGGTCCGCCTGGGTCATCTTGGGCGCCATCTCTGTGTACGGTAGGTGGGCAGCAAGCCTGGTGGTGGGGGTGACATCCAGGGCCATGTCGTCCTCACTGCTGCACAAGGAGGCTAGGTGCTGCAAAGCTCACCCCTTCCTGGGGAGGCCTGGGTGGTCTCCCTTCTGAGAGGTTCTCCTTTGTAAAGCACAGGAGGCCTCATAGCCTGTTGGTGTTCTAGAAGTAAAACCTGGCGGTCACTGACCTCCTTATTTTCCATTATTATCGGCGTGCCGACTGAGCATATGTACTGTTAAGCAACTGATACACTAAGTTATCTTTCTTTAGAACAATTCTAAGTCCTTTGGGCACAGTACCTGTACATAACCCCAAATGTTAGCTGCTATTTAATTAATATTAGCAAGATTACCATTGGCAGCATTACTGCTTCCATTTCAAGGATAAGGAATTTGGAAGTAGGACTGAGCACGTCCTCTGGGTCCCAGGCACACAGCCTCCCCTGCTTGCAGTTACCCTTTTTACCATTGGCAGCATTACTGCTTCCATTTCAAGGATAAGGAATTTGGAAGTGGGACTGAGCACGTCCTCTGGGTCCCAGGCACACAGCCTCCCCTGCTTGCAGTTACCCTTTCAGGCCCTGCTCTGGGCTCCGGCCGTGCGGACTCTGGAGGCTCTGGGATGCCAGCCTGGTGTCACGGCACGTCCTGAGAGCCCCACCCTGGGGCTCCCAGTGCGACAGGACTGGCTCCTCCTTCAGGGGCTGCTTGGGAATAAATGTCTTTCTTTAATGTGACAAGGATGTCTTTGTTTTCCCAGATCTTGTCGCTGTACTGTGTCCCAAAGGGCCGCTGAGAATGCTGGTGGAAACTGCCCAGGAGAGAAACGAGCCCATATTCCCTGCCCTGATATACTCATGTGAGTGGGCTGCCATGTCTCTGCCTGACCATGGGGTCAGCACGTGGTCTGTGGTGGGGACAAGGGACTGTTTCCTGGCCGTGGCTTTCAGTGTATAGGGATTTGGATTTATGTACGCACTCAACACAGTGTGCATCAGGTCCCTGCTTTGGGACAGGCGCTGTGCTAGGCATTGGCGTCCAGCAGGAAACAAGACCACGTGGTCCCGGGCTCACAGCGCTGCGGCTGTGATGCGCTACGTCTGCTGTGGGCGGGGCTCACTTAAGCAGAGAGCCTGAATTTCTGGGCCCGTGTTGGGGGAGTAGCTGTTCATTGGTTGCAGTGTTTCAGTTTTGCAAGATGGAGAAGCTCAGGAGCTCTAACAGTGTGAATATATTAATACTGAGCGCTACTAAACTGTATACTTAAAAATTATTGAGATGATACATTTTATGTTTTTTACAATTTAAAATTTTTCACAATTTAAAAAACAACACAATTAGTTCCCTAGACTGTCGGCTGATATTATTAACCTTGTTGCAGTTACGTGTGGAGCGGGGCGGAAAGAGACTGGCCAAGGCACTGTCTGCCCAGACCTGGCCAGTGCATCTGGGCCCCTCCCCCAACAGCCTCCAACCACGGACAGTGAACAGATAACCCACAGGATGGCAGGATGGAGGGTCCCATGCAGGCGTCCTGGGGACACAGGCTGGCCACCTTCCCCAGGCCCTGCAGGCAGCTACTGTCAGCACCACTGGAGTCGTAACCCTTTCCTCCCCCACAGCTGCCATGGTGTGGACAGTGGGCATGGCCAAGCTGGACCCCTCCTCTCAGGGAGCCTTGCAGCTCCCCTATGACCCTGAGATGGGTAAGTATTGGGGGCCTGACAGCCTCTCATCACTGGGGCCGCTTCTCACCTGCACTCAGCCTGGCCTCTCTGCAGGGCACGAGTTCAGGAGGGAAGTGTGACATGTCATCCACAAACTAGCCCTCCTGGCTGCTCCTAGAGGTGTTCAAGGGTGGGAATGTCAGTCCCCTGCCAGCCTCCAGTGCTTCATTGCTGCTGGGCGTGGCTGGCCGTGGCTGGGAGTGAGGGTGGGGGAACCCTGAGGTCAGACAGTGGCGCTCAGGGGGACCCTTCCTGGATCTTTCTTCCCCAGAGACCAGGCAGCCCTCTGACCAGCTTTTGTCTCTCTCCTTTGCCCTCTGCTCGTGGCAATGATGGTCATCTTCTCTTCCTGGACACCCAGAAGAAGACTCCTATGACAGTTTGGGGGAGCCCTCATACCCCGAAGTCTTTGAGGCCCCCCTGCCTGGCTACCCAGGGGAGGAGCTGGAGGAAGAGGAGGAAAGTAAGGTGCCCGTGTTCACGTGGTCTGCTTTGCCCAGGGCTGGGGTGGAGGGTGGAGGCTCCGCGGGGCCTGGGTAGAGAAGCCGTGAGGGGAGAGGCCCCTTTTCACGTTAGAGGCATCTTTGCAAAGACAAGGAGAAGCCTACAGAGCTGGAGTCTTGTTGCCCAGCCCTCTGGGCTTCTGCACCCAGGCTAAACCGTGCGGTCAGGCGACGTGTGTTGAGTGCCGACTGAGCACCTGTGAGGTCGGGTGAGGCCGGGCCTGGTGGGGCTCACGGTGTGACGGGCATAGGCACTAATCACACATACCTTAAAAGCCGGCGAGGACTTTGAGGGGGGCCACCGGGAGAGGGTGGGACGCGGCTTCCACGGGGTGGAGAAGGTTACCTGTGGACGTAGCTTCTGAGCTCTGGAGGTTGAGTCACAGCGTCACTAGAAGAGGAGGGCACAGGGCGCTTTCCAGATGGCAGATGGTCGGAGCTGAGACCTAAGCAGACCAGAGGTGTGGGAGGGGCTTGAAGACAGACCTGGAGACATCTGAGGTATTATTTCCCAGGTAATTAAAACAGCCATTCTGTTAGGACACAATCACAGACCACGGGCTGCGTGCCAGGTGGCACCTGGGACACGCAGGTGCTGTGGTATATGACACCTCAAGAAGGGCCTGTGGGAGCAGCCGGGTGCTATGAAGTATTCCAGTGACACAAGAGGGCTGCGTTTGGGAAGGATCAACCTGAGGCGGGACTTGAAGGATGAGGCCAAGGAGGGCATCTGTCCCAGTGCCGACTGGCGCCTGCAGCTCGCGCCTGGCACTGGCTACCGCGGTCAGTGCAGACCCCACGGGGTGGGAGGCCTGGTCATAGGACTGGCTCCCTCCAGACACCAGCTGCGAGTTCTCAGGGTCCATGGGCCACCCACTCTTCTGACCAACTGGCTACAAATGTGGGGCTCCCACGACGCCCTCAGGTTCAGTCATTTGCTACAAAGGATCACAGCACTGGGGAAATCACCGTCCTTCCAATCACAGTTTTATTATACGGAGTGCAACTCAGGGCTAGCCGAATGAAACAGGGCGAGGTCCAGAAGGGTCCCGACCATGCCTTTCCTGTGTCCTCTCGTGGTGGGACAGGGCACGCCACCCTCCTGACGTGTGGCTGTGCTCACCTAGCTTCAGGTCCAGCGTTCATTGGCGTTTCGTTGCGTAGATAGGATGGACCAGTGTTTGCCGCCTGATTGAGCCTCATCCCCTGCGCCCACCCTAGGTCTGCGGCCCAAAGCTTCAACCGTCTGATCGCAGGGTTGGTCCTTCTGGTGACCAGCCCCCAGTGTGAGTCATCTCATCTTTTAGCATAGTCGCAGGTGTGATCCAAGGGGCTCATGAATAACAAAACACTCCTGTTACACAGGAAATTCCAAGGATTTAGTCCCCTGGTAACCAGGGCCAGAGGCAGATCAAATTCAGCAGCCTTTGCTTTGCAAAGGTCAACTTACACCCGAACCTTCAGAGCTCTGTGGCTGCTGGGTGTGGGCCGTGGTCATCGCCGCAGTGGAGGAGGGCATCGGGTCTTAGGGTGTGTTGTAGTCTTGGAAGAGCTCGTATTTTATCTAGGGGTGGTGGGGAACCGTCAGTGTTTGTAAGCAGGAAGATCACAGGAGAAGAGCTGCGTTCCTGACGGAGCCTGCTGGGGCACCAGGAGGGAGGGAAGCAAGGTGGCAGCAGAGGACGGGGAGAGGAGGTGGGGGGCTGGCTGGCAGGACTGCGCCAGTGTCCAGTGTCAGGGGTCCCCGTGGAAGGTGGTGCTGCTCACAGAGACTCGGGAGGGGCTGCAGGGTGCCCAGGTGGATGTCCAGTGGACCTGACGGGGGGAGGAGCTCAGCATGTACATGTTGTCAAAGCTGGGGGCCCGAGAAGCGCAGGTAGCCAGGGAGGGTCCGGGGCGCTGACGGGAAGGGAGGACCCTGGGGAGTAGCCAGAGGCAGACCCGGGCCCAGACAGGCAGGTAGCAGCAGGGCTGCGAGCGTCCCCCGTTGGCGTGTGGTGGCTTGGCCAGAGAGCAGAGGTTAGCAGACAGGGGACCTGGTGCCTGTAGATTTCCAAAGTGACCAGGAGGTGATATCCCGGGGTTCATTTGAGAGTCCAGATTTTAAAAGAAGAGCGATCAGGGAGGGGAAAGAGCCAAGCGAGAGCAGGACAGCAGGAGCAGTGTGGCAGCGAGGGACTGGAAGGGAGGAGGACGGACGGCTGGCCAGGCACAGGGCGAGATGCTGCCGGGAGCAGGAGGGACACCTACTTGGGGCCTGGAGGGGACAGGGAGGGTGGGCCTCCTTGGTTTGCCTTCTCGCATACCACATTGATTGTCGACAGCCAGCAGAGTTACCCTGTGTGGGGCCATTGTACTGAAGAAAACAAACTCAAAAGCATTTTAGAGGCTTTGATTTACTTACAGGGATAGGTGTACGACTTACGATTGCAGTTACCTGCTTGCAAGGGGAAAGGATCCTAGGACCTCTTTTTTCGTGTTCATACATGCTCTTCAAAGGAGAGTAATTAAATTTCCTAGAAAATATCCATCATCCAGACCTGCACTCAGTGGCACAGCAGCCCCTCAGCCCCAGGCAATGCATTTTTATTTGGCCTTCTCTTTGCTCAGCTAAGCGCCCAGCACCAGTTTGACCTGAGTGTCAGGGCAGCCAGCTTCTCTGTGCCGGCTCGTAAGGCACCCAGTCTGCAGGTCCCCCCTTCCCGCTGGCGGTGGCTGTTTGGAGGCAGCCTGTCCTGCAGTCCGGGCGGGCTGGGCCGGGCGGGTGGCTGCCCACCTGGCCCTGCATGCCTTCGGGCTGGCGCAGTGCCGGGGCCTCCTGGGCTGGTGGTGTCCTCCTTTTCCTGGTCTCTGCAGCGTCCTCAGCAATGGTCCGCTTCCTCTGCCCACGCAGGGGGCGTGAAGCTCGGCCTCGGGGACTTCATCTTCTACAGCGTGCTGGTGGGCAAGGCGGCGGCGACGGGCAGCGGGGACTGGAACACCACCCTGGCCTGCTTCGTGGCCATCCTCATCGTGAGTGTCTGGGTGCTCCCGCACGGCCCCCACGGGGACCCTCAAGGTCTGCATGGGGGCCAGGGTCTCTGAGGATTCACATTTGTTCCCCTCCGAGGGGCGCGAGCAGCGAGGGGCCAGGCTCACAGGAGGTGTGGTCGCCGGGCCGCAGCCTGTGAGGACCCTGGCTCTGACCCCACCGAGCTGCACGCACACCGTGCCTCGGGCCGCTGCCAGCCTGTGGACGAGTCGCATTGTACCTGGGAGGGGCTGTGGTTGCCTCAGATTTGGAGAAGAGGAAATGGCTTCAGGGCCTTGACTGTGGCGCAGAGCTGGCGAGGGCCGAGCTGTGACTGGCAGAGCTGCGGTTAGGGCTCGGTCTCTCGCTCTGGAGCTGTGTGCTTCCCTCCTCCGCGCCACCCGGACACCTCTGGAGCTGTGTGCTTCCCTCCTCCGCGCCACCCGGACACCACAGGGTCCTGACCCAGGGTCGCCGCGGGGTTGGGGAGCAGACCCATCACTGTGAACCCCAGCAGTGGAATTTAGAGGCCCTTGTACTGACTTCACGTGGCCAGATGCACATCGTGGGGGAGACGTCCTATGATGATTTCATCTCGGAGTTTTTCTGTTAGAGGACGTGGAGTCTCTGGGCGTTACGTACGCCACGTCCTGTACCTCTCGGAACACCCTGGTGTCACCTGGCAGGGCACATGATTAAGGTTGATGCTCCAGTGTTTTGAGGACTTCGTTTCTGCCCACGTGTGTTGTCAGGGATGGGATAGTAGACCCCAGGCTCCTCACCATCAGACTGTCTTTTTTTTTTATGATTTTTTTTTTGAGATCCTATCTATCTACCTAACAGTACCATTTCTTGAGAAGAATACTGATAAGGAGGATGCCTAGGGGAGAGAATACATGATTTTGGTTATAATACATGCGAGTAGCCTATTATATATAAAAGATGCCCAGTTAATACAATCTTATTTACTTATATAAATCTGTGATTCATGAGAGAAATCGTTGCTGTGGATATAAAGTATGAGTTGTCATCGAATAGATATACTCAAACCACAGGACTGCGTCATATAGAGATGGAGACAAAGATAGGAAGAGAGAGGGAGAGAAAGAGAATGAATGTGATGTAACTGTCAGGTTTTAGCGTGAAAATGTCTGTTCTTGGCACGCCCATGCCTGAAGAATGACCGGGCACGCCAGAGTTAGGCAAGCATGAAAATGAGGTTTATTGAGAAGGGAAAGATAGAGTTACAGAGCAAGATATAAGTTTAAAGAGCATGAGACATATGCCACATGACGACTGGACCCATTGTCACAGCTAAAGGAGAGCCAAAGGAAGGGCACAAAAGAAAAGGCCCATCAGACCATCTACCTGAGCCCTGCTGTCCCATGGATGGGGCAGACCACTGGCCCCACCCTGGACCACTGCCTGCATCAGCCAGGTCAGGGCAGGATGGGCAACCCCGTGCCTGCGTCCCAGGGGCAGGTCTGTGCCTCTTCCCTTTGCTTCCTTTGCTGTCAGCCCCTGAGAAGCCCGCTGGCATTTCAGTTGAGGCCATCTGGTTCACCATGAGTGCATGTTCCCTGAGGGCATCCCGCCCTCCCGTGTGGCCGTGGAGCCAGCTGGGGAGGCGGTGGGGCTGGCAGAGCATGGCCCAGGATCAGGGAGGCTACTGCTGGCTCAGTCGAGAACAGGCGGGCTGTCGTGGGGTGGAACACCTGCCCTCAGCACCTCTCGGAAAATAAAGGGGTTCCAGTGCAGTTGTCCAACTGGGCCCCAAACAAGCTCCTGAGCCCAGGGACTAGACCATCACTAACTGCCCCCTCCCGTACCGGGGGTCACCAGCCTCAGCCTCCCCTCCTGTCCTGCAGGGCTTGTGTCTGACCCTCCTGCTGCTTGCTGTGTTCAAGAAAGCGCTGCCCGCCCTCCCCATCTCCATCACGTTCGGGCTCGTCTTCTACTTCTCCACGGACAACCTGGTGCGCCCCTTCATGGACACCTTGGCCTCCCACCAGCTCTACATCTGAGACGCGGGCGCCGCGGGCCGGGAGCCGCCGGGAATCTTCACTGGACGCAGCTGTATAGTTTTACACTCTAGTGCCATATATTTTTGAGACTTTTCTTTCCTTAAAAAAAAAAAGAAAGAAGTATCGTTTACTTTGTGAAGAGGAAGCAGAACCAGCTTTTCGGTGCTAGCTGTTCTGTCCTGAGACTCTGCCTGCCCCTCACAGGCGCCACCTCGAGGTGCTGGCTGGACAGGAGGGAGTGTCCAGACAGCCGGGAGGGTCCGGGCGCGGGCAGCGGGAAGGCGCCGCTCTCGCCGGGTCTGGAGCCGGCCCCAGGCCCGGGCGAGCGTGGGCGGACGTGTGCGTTTGTCCGGCGCCTGGAGCGTGTGCTGGGGAACGTGCCCCGCGCCTGGTGGCTCTGGCTGGGGAAGAGAAGCCAGCTCCCTCTGAGGAAGGTGCCCAACGCGCTGTGTCTGGTGTCATTGTTATCTTATTACCTTTAGAAACCGAGTCCTCGTTAAGGCAGCCACGCTGCTGGGAAGTGGCTTCATGTCAATATCAATAAATAGACGAGTCCTGTCGAACGCTGGCCCCTGGTCTGTTCATACAGTCGGCCCCTCGCCCGGCCTGCCCGCGCTGCCGGGGCCAGCCGCGCTGTGGGGCCCAGGGCACGGGCGATTTGCCTGTCGGAAGGACAGAGGCTTTAACAGTCTCGCCTTTCTACACTCATTGCTGTAACTAGAAAGTTTCCTAAGCAAAGACGTTGGGAGAGCGGGAGCCTGAGGTCCGTGGGCTCTGGCTGCAAGGCTGCGGCGCCGGGCGGGCCCCTGGGCTCAGCGGTGCAGGGTGTCAGGCACACCCCAGTGCGGCTACCAAATGTGGAGAGGTCTTTCGGGAATGTCCACCCTCTGCGGGAACCTCTTGCCAGGGAGTGTGTGCTTGGGAACTCTCCTTTCCCGCCGTGGCCGCTGCCTGGGTACTGCAGTGGGGGAGTAGACAGGCTGGCTTTGCCTGTGTCACTCCGGTTGCAGAGGGTCTCAGTGATGCCTCCGGGTGGGGCCTCCAGCCCACTGGGGCCATGCAGAGCGGCAGGCGGACAGCCGGGAAACGCGTGTGCTCTCCAGTTCAGACTGGGAGCCCCGCCTCCTTGTTCCAGGAATAGCATGAGAGCTGAGAAACTGGCTGCTTATTAGGAGAGGAATGAGAATTGTGCGCCTTGAAGTTTGGCAGGCGCTTGCTTTCCCTGGGGCTGTGTGGCGTGAGCATGACTGACTAACGCAAGTCAGAGGTGCCCGCAGGGAGCAGTTAAAGACATGGCACCTCATAGTGAAAGTTTGCAAGAGGTTAAAGGGGGGGAAACTGTGAAAAGCCCATTGTATTTGGCAGTTAGGGCAATGTTTATCTTCAGAAGAGCAGCGTTGGGCGTTTCCAAGGATGAGATTGGGGCAGCATGGTGACTAGTTATGCTGAAAGAGGCCTTTGTCAAAGGCCTGGCCGGAGTCACGTTCAGAGGAACAAACAGAAGTGGGAGAGCCCATATTCAACTAGATAGACAGCGAGGAAGGGAGAAGTGCTCATCGCTAAGCAGGCCCCAGGATTCAGTGTTAAGCCTGGGACGACAAGGACTGAGGGAAGCCTCGGAAGAGCCTTTGGAGAGAAAGGGGTACTCGAGATTCTGCCTCGAGGTGCCTGAGGACCTGGGAGACTAATGAACCCAGAACAGAAGGGGAAAAGAGGAAAACTGAGAGGATTTTTTAAAGCTACAATTCGGACATGATGAAAAAGAATAGAGAACTGGGGTGCACATCCTTATGTCTCCCCCATGTAACCAACTATCCCAATCCTGCTGCCTCTGTCCCCTGTTCTGAAGTCAGTTTGTATCCTTCCCATCTGTGATTAGTTTCATCTTGCATATTGGCATATTTTTTTAACTTTACAGAAATGATACCGTATTGTACATATTTAATAATTTTTAAAAATAATAATTACCTTCTGGAGATTTTCGTGTGTATGAGTGTAGCTTTGGTTCAGTTCTTTTAGCTGTTGTATTCCATTGTAGGATATTCCACTTTAGATCCATACATTACTGATGAACATGTATGGTTTTTGCGTGTTTCCACATTACAACTATGCTGAAGTAAGCATCCTGTGACGTTGTATGGATTCGGAGGAGTGCTGGAAGTCCCCTAACTGGCTGGATGGTCCCAGTTGCTCCCCAAGCACTTGTATCTGTGTGTTTTCCCATCAGCAATCTGAGAGTTCCCCCTTTCTCCCAATTCTGCCAACACTTGGTATTCTCAGATTTTCCACTTTGTGTAATTGGATGGATGTTATCCCCTTTCAGTGGTAGTTTGCACTGAGGGTAAGCATCTTTCATATGTGTGTTGGCTGTGCAAATTTCCTTGTCTGTTATTTGTTCATATTCTTGGCCCATTTTTTATTTGGCTTATTTGTCTTTTACTTTGGGATATTTAAGGCTCTTGAAATATATATTTTGGAGATACGGTAATCTTTGAACAACTACTGATATGTGCGTTGCAAGTATCTGGTGGGAGTGGCTTGCCTCCTCCCCTCCTCAGGAGTCTCTTGCTGTGCCAAAGTAATTTTAAAATG